TTTTATATTATCTCAATTTGAATATTTGAAAGTCGTAGATACGGATACATACAAAACACAGATCGTCTCTTTTGAATAGCTTCGTGATTTTTGTTTGACATAGCACATTTTAGGATCGACATCTACTATAAATTGAATTCCTACAGTAGAATTATAGTCGTTCAACGCCTGTTCAACGATGCTTTGGGCGTCCTCCGCGGTGCACGCTGCCGGAAGACACAATGCCCACTTCACGGTCTGGAATCTTGGAATAAAATAACCACTCTGAAAAGTTGAACGTTCGTTACGATGCAGATATTAATTTTAACAAGTAAATTTTAAGGAATTTTAATTAATTTAAATCTACTTACATCGTGCATGCTCGCTCTGATAGCGGCACGTGCTTGCATCATATTGACAGGAAGCTTCATGTCTGGACGAGACGGAGACATGTCTATGTAAGCCAAGCAATATTTGCCTTGGACCTTTATCGTATTTTCATCTAATTTCACGTGCGCCATTACGCCCAAACACTCGTCAAAATCTCCAAATTGATTTATATTTCCTCGCAATAGACCCGATGGAATTTTCGCGCTCGAGTCTAACACTGATTCGTGCAAATAACAATACAAAAATTTACAAAATTAAAGTGAAAAAAATCATCTTCTATCGTTGAATCGCGATATAATTTTTAAAATTTTTGAATTTTCGTAATGTGAATGAAAATGTCGACTTACTTTGCAACGCCCATAACTTGTGGCCCCTTAACTGTCGTAGAAAAATTTTGATATGCTGCTGACACTCGAAATTTTCAATGGCTGTGAAATTTGGCACGAAGGTCGGCACGCGTAATATCGCATCGTTCAATCGAGCCAAAGCGAAAGCAGCATCCACGTGCGTTTTCGTTTTTACTTTCGTTTCATCTTCTATAAACAATATCATAGTCCTTTCATTCTATACAACAAAAATTAAGAGAGAGAGAGAGAAAGAAAAAAACAACCGATAATTTTTTCCTCATCTTCTTAGATAATATAATAATGCATAAATTCTGAAAATCAAAACATCCAAAAATGGATATTCGATCTTTCACGATACTCACTGTCGGATCGTTTAATTTTTGAGACTTTAATTCGAGCAGATTGAGGACTCGGAGTTTCTTTTTTCGACGGTTCTCGCGTCTTCGACACTTCCGGTTTCACCGGAATTTTCGCTTTTTCCGCCGGTTTCATCTTCAATTTGGACGATTCTGATTCAGATTTCGTTATCTTAACGGGCTCGATCTTCTTCGTGGCTTCAACCGGTTTGGACAATCCCTCGACCAACTTTTTCTCATCCGCCTTCGTCGTTTCGATCTTGCTTCTTGCAATTTCCTCTGATTTCCTCTCTTTTAATTGTTTAATCGCATCGGCTTTTGGTTTTATCACGTTATCAACTTTTGACTTCTCATCATATGTAGTTTCCACCGATTTAATCTTATCTTTGTCCGCGTATCTAACTTTTTCTAGTTTTTTCGGTGGAGGAGTAGCAACTACTTCTTTCGATTCTTCCTCGTCTTCGTCTTCGTCTTCATCTTCGTCTTCATCCTCGTCTTGGTCTTCGTCTTCCTCTTCCCCTTCATCATCATCATCATCATCATCGTCTTCTTTTTCATCTTCATCTTTATCTACCTTGCCTAGCTTCTTAGCTCTAATTATCTCCTTCAATCCTTTCTCCGGACTAACTTTTTTCTTTAAATCCATCTTCCCGCTTTCCTCTTCATCCTCCACAATTTTCCTCCTACCCTTCACCGTTATTCCGCTTACTCTTCCCCGAGAATCCTCCGCATCTTTCTCCTTTTCTTCTTCCTCCTTTTCTTCTTCCTCTCTGCTTCCGTCGTAATCCTCGCCCTCCCTTTTACCATCATCGTCGTCGTCCTCGTCATCGCTCGATGCGATCTCCTCCACAGTCTCCACCTCCACAATCACCTCCTCTTCATCCTCCTCCTCCTCTTCCTCCTCAAGATCCTCAGCACTCCGCGATGCCCCGCCATCCTTCACCCCCGCGAACTCGGTCTTTTCGTGTTTCACGCGCATCCCCTCCAACCCTTTCCCCTCGTCGAGCTCGGCAGGTGGTTTCCGAGCGATGCTGGCATGAGTCTGTGCCGTGGTGTCGTGCCTCTTGGTCAACGTACCCGTGATCCTCTTCTCCTGGCATCTACCGGAGGCAGAAGCGCAAGCAGCGCGATGCGGCTGCTCCGCCGATGATGTAAAGGCCATTTGCCCCATTGTATGATCGCGTATGCGGAAGGCATAGCAGGTGTAGAGGAACAGCACCAGAGCCAACAAACCGACGCACTTGCCCAAAAGGGCGACGGCCATATCACCTCAACGTTTCGTATCGAAAAGTATCGCACCACCGGATGATGTATCTTCACACGAGAAAAAAATTATCTCGAAAATGTATATGTATACGTATATATTTCTTTCGATAGGCGTCGATCCTCCTCTCTCTTCCTCCTCTTCCCTTGCCCTCGACGAAAGTTTTTTTTTTTTTTTTTTTT